TCTAAAATACTTTTGAGACTATAGTTTGTGCATATACTATCTATACATTAATTTTTTATTACTATTTTCCTAGCGATATAAACTAAAGACAATTATTGTAAACCTAAAACATTTCCTATTAAGGTTCTCAGACATCCAAATTTTCATTATATTGGGAATTTACTTTATTCTTTCGATATCTAAATATAAACTCTTGTTTTCTTACTCATTCGTTATAATGAGAGTTTTTCACTATTTGTTCTAGAGATATAAACCAAAGAAAATTACTTGGGAGTCAATAAAAAATATCACAAATATTATTTATTTTAAATTGAAAACATCTTATAATAATGTTCTCAAATATCCAAATTTCCATAAATATTGGAGAAATGTTTACTTTATTCTTATGTTTGATGAAAAAAAGACATGTTTTCTTATTCATTCGTCATATTGAGTATGACATGAGTATATAGAAGATGGGTCAATTTACAAAATCCATAAAACATTCTAAAGAAACATCTAAACAAGCGAGAGGGAAAAAAACAGGTGGAAAACTGAAGGAAAAAAAACAACCCATAATGATTGTCTCGTTGCTTTCTTTGTAAAACTTCAAGAGAAAGATCGTACAGTATAAATCTACAAGAATATATCATTATAAAATATATTTTGAAACACATTTTTTTGAAGTATTCTTTATTTTTCAGGATAAGAGAAGAAAGAGCGAGTTTACAACTTATTCAAGAATTTAAAATATTTTTCGAAGTGGAAAAGTGGGTTTGAAATATAAATGTACAATAAATCGTGGTTATGGTTAGGGCTGAATCTAAGTTTGATATTTGATAATAAAATTAGGGTTAAAACAATAATTTAATCATAAAAATGATTAACTTAGACAAAAATCTAACTTTTTGTGCTTATTTCTTTAATAATTAAGGTTTAGTTAATGTACAAAATTAATTTTGCTGATGCAAAGTGTTGATATGTAATATTTATATCTAAATTATTTCATCCAAGTTTCTTAAAATTATTTATTACCCCTTAAAAAGTGAAACTGCGACTCGAAAAAAGCAACATGGTTTTAAAAAGTACCATACTTTTTCAATTTATAAAATGCAATTTTTTCAGAACTAACAAGGTCGTGACACACTTTTAAAAGAGATAAAATAAAAGGGGGAAAATAATATCCTGCAAATACGGAACATAGAGCCCATAAAATGATCTTCCAATTCATTATAAAATTAAATATTCCAGAATGGAATCAAATATTTCTCATGTTAAATAGAATCAGGAATATTCTTTAATAATGCCATTTGCAATCACAAGTTTGAAAATGGTTTGGCTAATTGTTATGATAACTCATAGAAATTTGATTTTAAGTCAGAAACCGATGGAATGTATTTTTACCAAATCTCAAATTTTTCAAAATGAGGACTTTAGTTTCAAAACTGGTTTGATTATTTTTTCTTTAATAATTTATTCGTTACACTTTCTTGTAAAACTTGTGCTTATTCTCTTATCTTTTTCATCTATTTCAATCACATCTAACCCCTCCTATTTTTCACATTTTTTTTAATGTTCTTCCAAAATGATTTAAAAAAATTCTTTGAAGGCAAAATAAATAAAAATATCTAAGAAGGAAATAAAGAAGTTATGCCATGTCACCACTTTTAGAATTTTTTGCTCCTCTTTCCATTTCAAATGATTGATACGCAGTTAAAATGTGTCTTTAGGGTCATTATTTTGTATGAAAATTAATCTCCTTGAAATTTCTTTTGTTTTAGATGTTTCTACATGGTGAACTAAAATATTATGGTACATCTTTTTGTTCATAGTTATTTCCGAACCTACTTTTTGATCACTGCTCAGTTTGTGTCACAAAACAACTCCGCCGAGAAAAGAAATTTTTTTTATTCATACTTGTTTCGCATTTTCGGTTAGATGCTTTGTTAAATAATACCCTTAATTTATTAATTAAAAAGTCTCTTCTTTGTCAGCGCAACAGCCTCTTGCAGACCTTGGCTGCCTCAACAGTTGACAAACCTTCCAATTTCTTATCATGAGGGTTTTCAATAATTAAATAGTAAACTTACTAGTATTAACCCATATCAGAAATACTTTTATGAAGTTTTATGAAAGTAGCCCACAATTAAAAGTGCTTTCACGAAAATAAATTTAATACTTTGCGTTGCAATATTATTTTAATCAATAAAATATTACTATTCAAATATAAAATTAATATTTTATCCAAACATGAAAAGACATAGGTGTGATTCAGGAAGGAAATCTGATCAACTAACAGTCTGTCCATAGTTCTCTGCAGTACAACTAGTACTGTGACAAATATATTTAAAAATCAATTAAAACATTCAATATGAAGAAAGGGTAGACTAAGCAAAAATCGAAGCGAATAAAGCACAAATAGGGTACAGAATTGGGTATACTATAGTTTCGGTTCCATAAACAAGAACATTCCTCATTATTTAAACACCAAATGAGAGTTGAAAAGTAAAGAGTTGAGCAGGTGCAAGAACCAGCCTGCACAAAGGAACAAACTTTAACAAGATAATGAAATAAAAGAAATGCAAAACAGGCGTAAGGCAGGAACCCGAGAGTGCAAAAAATTAAATTAGAATAGATTTCCAAGCATTGAGAAAGAATAAGGATACTACTAAAATCCTTAACTAAATAATATGAATTTTTGAAATATTGGAATGATTTCCAGAAATCAAGCTCGGTAAATTCAGAACAATGTTGAATGGTTCTAACAGAAGAAAACTATGAAACTAAAAAAACTATGTCTATGAATATAATTCTAACTATATAAGGAGATGGAAGACCGATTACTATTCTGATTTTGGAGACACCTTTCACGTTTTTTACCCTTACCCTTAAATAAAAACTTATCCTTAAATTTTGACCTAAGGAACATGAAAAATATGAAAGTTACATTAATAATAAATAAAAAGGGAAACATTTCAAATGAACATGTTTTAATTATAATTATTTTTATTGTTTTTATTTTAACTTATAGTGCACATGTAAAAAACAGTTTTTTAAATCCTGTATTCATTCCCTTTGGGAACCATACATTTCATTAAAACCAATAAGTTTTAATTTTTATTAATAAATTAAATTTATGAAAACTGCGGAAAATTTTAAATCCTTCTATTAAATAATCATTGTTTAGACCTTAGGTAAATACTTTAATAGGATATAAATTGTTTTCAAGTTTGTAATATTAAAACTAAGTTACCAAAAATAACAAAGTAGCACAAGTGTTAATAATACAATGCTGTAACATTTTATGGCTAATAATTATTTGGGTGATGTTGATATTATCTTTCTCTGTAACTTCTGAAACTCCTAACTTACCTTTTATAAAATCTCAACTCCCCTAGAAATTTTCGGAGCTCACGTTTGGAACCTATAAATTAAATGATGCTCAAAATTGGTAATAAATACGCACCGTATTATCTTATTGCAAATACTTATTTAAGTTTATATGCTTTGAAGACATATTAAATTCAAAATAATATTTCAAAAATTGTGTTTAAGTGTAAAAGTATGTCTGTTTTTTAAATATTCATTACTTTTCTTCATATATTTGCTCAATAGAATTTTTTTCGACTAGTATGACAACTACGAATAAAATTAATATGATCGCAATAAGACATAGTTTATTTTAATTATAATTTACTAATACTGAAAGACTTGACGTACTTCAAAATAAATTTGCGAACATTTCTATAAGTATAAATCGTTTCAAATCTTTAAACAATCATCCGATTCGTCATCTTTTTTTCCATAAAATCTGAATATGTTTTTACATGAATCCCAATGAGTGTGGAAAACGCGAAAATATTAACCCATGCAATATACGAAATACACCCAATATCGATACATCAGAAAAATATATGCAAGAACTTCAGTTAATCTCCCAAATTCTTCAATAATATTTCCATCGAATTGTAAAACATTCCTAACAAAAGCTTATTTAAACTGAAATTTTATTTACTATTACCGATACATTTTATTTTTCTTCCGGTATGTCTTACAAATCTAAAGTGACTATAAATTTTTAGTTATAATTAACGACTCCCTTTTTTTTCATTATAGTATGTTATATGCATTGTACTTTGTATATTCAGTTTTATGTGTTGTCGTTTCATTTTTTTGTGTAAAATTAACTATTAATACATTTCATGGTCACCATTATGAATCATTTCATCCCACGTAACTGAAATATTTCTTGTTTGTTAGCTCGATTGTTGTAAATAATAATATAAAAATAATAATAAGCATATTTCTTACTAATCTCCACCTACTGTTATGTACTTCTATACTTGAATATAAAAATTCCCCTCCCATTAAAAAGAGGTTTTAAAAACCTCTTATTGTGAAGATAATTGTGATGTTGGTTTTTTAAAAAGACATCACTTCTGTAAACCTTGTTCTTTTAGCATTTTTTTGTTTTGTTTCGAAGGTTGTAGAAATGAATCATTTACCATTCTCTTAAGACAAATCTCTTGCGGAATTTCCGAGACTGAAAAATTTGCTAAAAGGACAAAGTTCAAGCACAATGTAAAAAATTCCGGATCAAAATATGGTAAGAGGAACTCGATCCCAGGATTTCACGGTGAATCATTCGTAAAATTCATTTGACTGCGAAGCACATTTTAACTGTAAGGCTTTGTACCCTAATTTTTACAGTAATATAACAGTGATTCCGTAAATTTAGAGTAAATATTACTTTAAGAGCTACAGTATATAAATTTTTTGTTGCATGCAATTTTTCAGCAAAAAATGGATTTTACGGTGAAATGTGACAGCATCCTGTGTGCTGATACTTTTTACCATAATTTTATCCGAAATTTTTGTCATTTACATCAGATGAAGGTTACTTCAAATCATATTGAGTAGGTATGTTTCAAGAGTTAATCAATCAATAAAAATAACAGCCATACCTTGTAAAATAACGAATGATAAATTTCGAAAAGAACTAATAAATAATACCTTCTTACCTTCTAAGCTGTTTCTTTATCAAAATTAGCAACATCAAAAATAAATTAGCTCCCATTCCTAAAAATGCAAGAGAGAATAAAACTACAGCTTCAGTAAATTGAGCAGGATGGCAAGTTGGTGCGGAACTGTTTCCTACATGACTAGCATTGGATACTCCTCCAAAACGTACAACATTTAAAGTGCCAGCCATTCAGTTGGAGAACACTTGCACAATGTTTCTAATCTTTGAGGAGATGCAAGCACTTTTCTTTAAACAATATTATTTTTAAGCTGGCATGAATAGATAAAATAACTTTTTGGTAACAAAAAACATCAAAATTTGCCTGTAAAGAAAAATTAAGTATATTAGTCTATTATTTTTAAACATATGTTTAAAAAGTTATTGTCACGTTGAAATATGCATAACATATTTTATAACATTTAAAATCCAAATTATTATCGTATTTAATCCTTTTTCAATAAATAAAAATCATTAGTATAAACTGCAATGTTTTTATACCACAACCTTGAATTGAATGCAGAATAAAATCTATTTTTTGAGATCCCCTCTACGTCTGCCTAACACATTAGCATAGAATTCAAAAGCCGTTATGTGGTTGCTGATGTTTTGATTTCTCTATTATTTCTCACACTTTCTTTTCCACTAACAATTTTCGATGCACAAGACTAAGAAAAAGAGTCGTGGCGTTATATTTAATCAATTAGCAGCCAATATATGGATTCCTTAACTTTCCTTGGCGAAAACTATGCTAACGTACACAGGAGACTCGCATTTTTGATTTCTAGGTGGACGGAGGTGTTCTGTTGGGCATAGCCCTGCAGCCACACTTTTCGGGCAAATTTTCTAAATTTATTAATTTACATGTACACAAAGATGAATCAATGTCTTATTTTGGAGATCCATATGATTTCACATATTTCTGAAATGAAATATTTTTATTATTCATCGAACTTAATTCTTCATTAACGTAGTTCCTTCTGTTTAAAAATCTGCATCATTCTTGCCTACATCACACTGGAATAATATATGAATGATTGCAACTGCATTTAATCAAATCTCTTCAACTTATGGTAAGTATAGTTCGTTCACCAGGAGTTGAGACTTGGCTCCACCTCCTCGGACGCAGAGTTCATTTCAGCGCGGAAGTTAGAAGAGAAACATCTCCGTTGTTGAAATTGAGACAACCCTTAATTTGCGCCATACACAAAAATTGAATTCTTTTTCAGTCACTTACTTTGCTTTATCATCTGCTATTATACATTTTGTTACACTAACTAATTAAATATAGTTTAAATTTAAAAACTGCTGTTCTCCCAGCGAAATGGCTCATAAAGGACAAACTATTCACTCAAAAGAAAGAAATATCATAAAAAATAGTGTAAAATATCATCAAATTTATGAAATATTCATTGTTAAAAAAATGCACATAAAGTTTGCGAAATAAATATTTTTGCCAAACGATCGCCAAATAGCAACATTGTTCAGGATTGCTCACAACCTTCTCCCAAAAATAGCGAAATAGTATCGTCGCATACCACGTGATGAAGTCGGAGCCAAGTGCCAACTCCTGGTGAACGAGCTATACATCAACTACATCAATCAACATCCTCTTTAACTTATGGTTATGCAACTTTATTCAACAAATAATATTTCTTGATAGTTATATTGCACATCCATTAAAAATTAAGCATAAAAACTTCAATACCTGCTACCTTAAATATTTACTTTTGTTGCTTGCATATTATATATTGGTTATAAAATGTTTGAAAATATAATCTAGTATCTATAAAAAATATATATTTATATCACCGCTTCAATAAACTTAAGCTTGTAATCTTTATCATTTAAATCAAAAGAATATATTTTCTACATACAATAATATAATAAATAAGTTTTTGAAGTAGATTATTAAAATTGAAATCAATCGATGATAACAATTTCAATTTAGCTCACGAGAAAATTAAATTTTATAAAATAGTTAGCAATTTCAAACACATGAAATAATTGTCTTTTGAAGTAAATTGTTGTCAGGGTAGAAAAATTATGTCAAATAAAGTTAAGTCTCTGTTGGTTTAACTAAATAATTTTAATTTTAACAATTTAAACTTTCACACATACAAAAGGTAGCGTTAGGTAAAGAAAACTACAACACTGGAGATGCAATTCAAAAACCTTTTTAACAACATTTTCCAGATAACAAGTATGCAATTCAAACTAAAGGATATTAGTTATTTAAAAATAATAGCTTTTAGAGGAAGCATCGTTGTCTGTTAGTAAAAGCATGTTTTGTTTTAAAAATACTTTTTTAAAATAAATTTACATAGTATTAAATCATTTTTATTATATCTATATTTCTCAAGGATAAATTTGAAAAGGGGCTTTCTTTTGAAAATTAACTGTTCACTACATTGATGCGATAATAATTTTAAAGAAAGACATTCTTCTTGTAAAAATTAAATTGATAAACAATTTACTGGTAGAAATTGGGAATAATAAATTATTCTTATGTACAACGGTGCTCTTAGTGACTTCGTCAGAAGCTGGTTTCCTTAAAATCATGAAAAAAAAATTCTTCATAAATCTTGTTAAAAATAGCTATAGAATGGTATACTGTAAAAATTTCGGATCAAATTACGGTAAAAAGTACCAGCCCTCAAGGTACCGGTACTCTTTAGGGTGAAATCCATTTTTACCAGAACATGTTACAGAACAAAAAATCTGATGTACCGTTATCTTTACAGTAATAATTACCGTAAAATCACTAAATCACTCTAATTAAAAATTACGGTATAATATTTTATAATTCAGCCAAAGTGCCGGTACTTAATACTGTAATTGAAATCAGTCTAGCAAAAACATTTTACAGTCTAGCAAATAGGAGTAATAAAATTACTTCTGTCGACACTATTGCTCTTAGTGACTATGTCAAGAACGGGTTTTCTTAAAATTATTAAAAAAAATTATTTGGAGAACCTTGTCAAAAATAGCTATCAACGACCATATTAAATGCAAAACTTATCAAATTGCAGTGTTTTTTTAAACAAGCGTAAATTTTGGTGAGAAAAAAAATTTAAACATTAGCAAGAGAGGCTTGTGAAAGAAGAATGTCGTAAGAGAAACCTAAAGCATGCAACTAATATAACATTGCTCAGCCAGTGTAATACAGATGGATAAAAAGTGATTAACTATGCAGATTATGCAACGTCCTAAGTTGTGGCTATATAGTGACATTTTCTTTTTGTTAAATTTTAAGAGATGGAAATGTTAAGAAGAAGATGTAACTTTTTCCGAATAAGTTTGTAAACCATGTGGCTCGAACGAATTATACCACTCTTTTATTGAAATATTAATCATGAAATCTATATCCTCCAAAATAATTAAAAAAAAGTGTGATTACATTCTACGTCTCAAAGACATCACATCTCAATTCATAAATCACGTGACTTTGGTAATTTTACTTAAAAAAGGGAGGGAATACTTACTAATAACTCTAAGTATTATCTCAAACATTGTGATACACAATATTGGGCATCACAATATTTGAGAGAACGGAGCATACTAGGTAGTGTAAATGAAAACACTAACTGGACATGGAGATTTAACTTTTAAGTGTACAAGATTTATAAGCAACCCGCCGATAATATTAAATACATAAAAATAAATAGAATGAAAAGGATGACCCACGTGATTCTAATGAGGATGACAATACAATAAAAAGGATACTGCCTTTTAGACCCACTGGAACCATAGAGTTATAAATAAGAAGGAGTGG